TTTCAGCAAGCAGGGTTGTGTCATCTGCATAACGCAGATTGTTAATAGATCTTCCACCAATCCTGATGCCACAATTCTCCTCATAGAGCCCAGCCTCTCAGATAATCTGCTCTGCATACATGGTGAAAAGGTATGGAGACAGGATGCATCCCTGGCATACGAAGAGGCATCTTTCAAAGGTACCCAGGGAAAACCGGCGGGAAGAGGCCCTTGGGGACAGTGACAAGCGTGCTCCTGGGTGGAAGGGAAGCCTGAAAGTGGCGCACAAGGGAAGTTACCTCAGATAACAACAAAGAGGCATCTTTCAAAGGTACCCAGGGAAAACTGGCGGGAAGAGGCCCTTGGGGACAGTGACAAGCGTGCTCCTGGGCGGAAGGGAAGCCTTGAAGTACAAATACACTAGTGTCACTAAAGAGAACCCAGCCAAACTAAGTGACCTTGAATGTACTCTGCCTTATGTCTAGAAAATTTTCTGCTTAGTAAAGTTTCTCAAGTTCATCCACAGACTGTAATTTAAGATTTTTTCTAAGAGAGAGAGAGAGAGAGCAAAAGATATAGAACTATTTGAAAATAATCTTCCTTTTGAAACAGTGGCTTTCTTACATGGCAATCTTGTTTAATACCTCAGTTTTCAGACCTTTGACCTGCCAACTGGCTTGAGCTGGCCCATGTGGCCTTGGTAGCCAGAGCTCACCTCCTGTGGCAGAGCTGCCGTCGTGACCAAACACCTGGCCCAGATTATTGGGATGAGCCTGCAGGTGGCGGGCAGGACCTTTGCCTGCGCCCTGAAGCAGGAGTGTGCAGCCAGCTGGGCAGCAGTGGTAGCTTGGGGACGTGCTGGCCACTAGCAGCCTCCAACCTCTCTGGCCTCAAGCCTGCAGGAGGCTCAGCAGATCCTCAACATCTCCAAGCTGAGCTGAAGAGATCCAGAAAACTCTTGTTCAATATGAACGACAAGTCTGTGGGAGGCTCCTTCTACCTGCAGTCACAGGTCACACAGGTGGTCCGAGTGGAATCGGCCCGGGAGGACAGAACAAAAGAACCAGCATCCAGGATGCGATTGCCATTCCCGCTTTCTGCTCTGCCTGCCCCTCTAATTTATACTTGATAATAAACATAATTTCTTTCCACAGTAAAAAAATAAACAAAAACAACACCACAAAAACCCCCAATCAATAAACAAACGACAAGCTCAGTTTTTATAAGTAGAAATTTTTATTACCTTACCATTTCTAAAAAAAATGCTATGATTATTTTCTATTTATATAATTTCTAATGACAGAGATTTTATGCCCTTGAATTGTGGTATTGGTGAGGAGTACTAAATACACCATGGACTGCAAAAGAACAAACAAATCTGTCTTGGGAGACGTGCAATTAGGATGTATTTCTGAAGTAAAGATGATGAAACTTCATTTCAATTACTTTAGAGATACTCATAAGGAACTAATCCTTGGAGAAAGCTATCATGCTGGGAAAGGTGAAGCATCAGAGAAGGAAAGGAAAACCCTCTACAAGATGGGACTGCTGCAGTGACTGCCACAGTGGGCTCAGCATGACAGAGAGCATAAGGACGGTGCAGGACAGCGCAAGCTTCAGGGCTGTTGCTCACAGGGCTGCCGTAAGTTGTAGTCTACTTGATGACACCTAACAAGAACAACAACATATCTTAAGTCTCTAATAAAATGTTGGATATAATCAATAAATGTCTAGTGTATGAGGGGATAAAAATGATTAGTGGGCATTAGCACACAAGCTAAAATCTACTATTGCTGACTTCAGCAGCAATGTAAGAATCTTATGTCTATTACTGATTTTATAAATATTTTAACTCAAATGGTCTGCTCATGACAATTTAAAATTTAAAATATGATCTATAAAAACACCACACGAAAACCAAACCAAATGGTATTTTTAAGCCAAGAACAGATTAGGCAGATAGCTGGCAATTCACTGTAGAAAGTAGTGATGAAAACCTTCACCATCTGTCATTTAATACAAGTTCAAATGTAATATAAGTGCAATTGGAAAATTCCTTTAAGGTTTGACCTAGATAGTTAATTATCTAAAACTGCCCTATGGAAAGGAATGTGACATTCATGGAAAACATACTGAATATTAGATTATCAAGAAAAAAGCTACATAGAGTACATCAGGGCCAAATGATAGGATATTATGAAAGTATAACAAATAATTTTTTTCCAGGATTATTTAATTCTGTTGCTAGGTACTAATGCATTATTTCCGAGTCACAGTGACTGAGGACATCCTCACACCAATCCTACTCTTTTTACAGGTGATTTAGTGATTCCAGACACACAGTTACACAGGATTTTGTAAGAATAAGAAGCCAGGGGCTTGGTAAGCATGGTTACTTTTATTGATACAAAGTGGGAGGTGGGGTGGGGAGGGAGTCAAAATCACTTTAGGCCTGAGCGCAAAGGCAGAGGCCCAAAGCCATATGGGTATGAATGGGAGATAGTTAAGGATAGCACTTACAGGTGGAGAAGTTAAACGTTATAAATGCCGACTTAGTTGCTGGATATTGAGGGTTCTTCTAAATAATGATGTTAAACTGTATATTGTAGATTAAGGAAAGCAGGGAACTCTGGCGGCCTCGTGGTAAGAAGCTGCACTGTAATTTCAAAGTTACGTGGTTTGAATCCACCAGTTGCTCTGTGAGAGAAAGATGGACTAAATCCTCCTAGTGATTAAATTGCCTCTGAAAACCCACTGGAGGATCAGCTATGAGTTAGTCTGAGTAGCTGCACTCTACAAGCACATAATAATAAGCAACAAGAGAAAGCAAGTAAGTCTGCCTTTAGCAAATTGATAAACTAATAAGGAAGACCTGCCCTGAAAAAATGGTTGTGAATGTCACAGTGAATGTCGAAACGGGTTCAAATGTGTCAGAGATGATGAGGATGTCACAGGATAGAACAGGTATCTGTTGTTCACAGGGTCACTACGAGTCCTACTCAACTAAGTTGAAAGCACTTAACAACAGTACGGACTTAAACTCTTCAAGGGGCCTGATTCAAGTGATGGTCTTTTCAATTACTTCCTATGCACCTGAAAGTTGGACTATGATTAAGAATGACAGAGGAAGAATAGATGCCTTTGAGTTGTGTTTGAGAAGATTAATGAAAATCCCATGGACTGTCAGAACAACAAATATGTACTGGAGAAAGTACAGCCAGCGTGCTCGTTGAAGGGAAGGATGATAACACTTTTTCTCAAATGTTGTTGTTGTTATGTGCCGACTCATAGCGACCCTATGTACAACAGCCCTAAACTCTGCTCTGTCCTGTGCCAATCGCACTGTCTCTGACACTCCCATCTCAATTATCCCAGTCACT